TTATGCGTGCGGTGTGTGTAATTGTGTGTATGAAAGAGAGAGAGAGAGAGAGTGAGAGAGGCTGAGGTTGGAGGTTGAGACAGAGACAGAGAGAGGAACAGCAGCTACTAGTCCTGATAACTCAATTGAGGACAACAAGCATACGCCACGTTGCGCACCACCTTTGGGCCAGTCTCGGGCTGCTCTTTGTGCTTTTCATTCGCTTTTCTTTTTTCTTTCTTTTTTTCGTACTTTCGGCCAAGCGATTTATAAACGTTACAAGCATAAATAAACAAGCAGCTGTTGAAAAATTCAGAAAAAGAGAGACAGACAGAGAGAGAGAGAGGGAGCGCACTGTGTGGCTGACTGGTAACATATGCTGCGCTGGTTGCTTCGGTCGTTGTATATTTATTTACTTTAGCTCTTTTATAAAATATTTTTTAATGCAGCCCACAGAGTGTTGCCAATTTGTGCAGATTTATAGAGCCAACGAGCAGCGAGCGAGCGACCCATCCCCTTAGACCAGACAGCGCAAAAACTGCGCTGTTGACAATCGCCACAGGAACTGGCTGGCCAAAAGGGGAAACCTTGTTGCACTGACTTTGTTGTTGCTGCTGCTGTTGCTGTTGCTGTTGCTGGGTCATAACTGATTGCTGCAAGCACTTACGCTTGAGGGGGCTGGGGGTTTTTGTTTGCCAGGATAGACATGGTAGCTCAGTGCGTTGCGGCCGGCCGCGCTGCAGCCATTAGGGATATTCACGATTGCTGAGCATTGAAAGCTTAGTTATGCGTACGGGTAATTTTGAGATAGCAAAAGTTAACTATAAATTTCGACAAGGATGCATGGGCTTAGACCCGATGAAATGAAAATCTTCTTGGAAACTCTAGACGTCCGTCTCGCCATTTTAATGTCCGTAAAAACAAATATTTTTTTAACGTTCTAAAATGATTACCAAAGTCTAACAGAACGCGAATTTCGGAAGCAATAGATTAAAAAACTCGTTAACTAATCTGTGTATGAGCTCAGACTTTGTAGATATGCTAAGCCTATGACCTACTATGTATGAGTTAAGTCAACAATATATCTTTGGACATATTGTTGGAAATAGAGAAACTTGGTTAGTATCCAACTATTTCTATTGAAATATTATCTAAATAAAAACTGATACGATTGGCTCCGTTGTCAATACGAACATCATGTCCCACTTATGACATGCCGGTTTTGTTAGACAACTCGTTCAATATCAAATTAATGTTTCAGATATGTGAGGAAACTAACTGCTGAGCTTGGCAAGAATTTATTGAAAATAAGAAAGGTCCTTTTCTCTTCAAAAACACATTTTTTTCAATCGATTCTTTCTATATATATGGTAAACTAGTTTCATATTGATAAGATACTTTAAAAAGCAGCATAGCTAAAACTAAAAAAGTGGGTACCCCTAATTGAAGCTATATGATGATGGGCGAGGGGAAATAAAAAATCGAGTTTTGTCAATTTGACAGTATAATAGATTTAGTGTGTTTACAAGTCTGTGGCTGCTTTTGTTTCAGTTGCTGTTTCACTTCTCGCTCTTTGCAGTTTTTTTATGCCCAGTGCCTATTGCAAATAGATAAAAATGTGTATAATGGCTGGGCAAGTAGGCAGAATAATTTCCGACATATCAATGAACTTCTTCCTCATCAAAACTACACTCTGAGCTGATCTCGGAATTTGGTCTCGGGGGGGAGGGAATGTATATACTTATTAAGCTGAGTAAAGGGTATCAGCAAGTGGGACATTCCCGATTTCAGCACTCCTAGTTGTTATTGTTGGTGTGCCGTCAAGAATGCAATTGCTGAATTGAATTGCGTTCATTCCCAGACAGGATGTGGTGCAATTGGAACTGTTTGTTGCTCCTGCTGCTGCTCCTATTCCAGCCGCAGCTGCTGCTGTGTAAATGGGCGTGACCGTCTGCCAAATATGAGCACCGGAAATTAGCACAAATCGTCAACACCCATTCCCCTAAGAAGGGGCGTAAATTGAATGGACACTGGCAGAGCGCTGCAACCAAGCCGTGTAATTACTTTCGTCCCAGGGCTCAAATTTGTGCGCATTCGCTTTTAGGGCAAAGGTCGAAATGTTGCCGGTCACCAGTCGCCAGTCGCCGGTCTAAATTAACAAAAGGCCGCCCAATTAAAGACTAATCAGCCAATTGACCATTTGGTCTGACTGCATCGCTTGAGTGCCCACTGCGAGATTGGAGGCTGCCAAATGGATTTATGATGCAATCACCAACAACACACGAAGTTCTTGAAACTTCTCACATGCTTCTCGCCTCATGAAGATCAACAAAACGTGGCCCTAATTGAAAATCAAGCAAATTCTGCTTCAAACCTAACACTGATTCATTTTTTATGCATGCTGCTTTGCAAGTGAACGGGTATTTTAACTTTGTGGCATTGCTTGTCAGAGAACGTGACAGGAAATAAAATTTAGACTAAAACATTTAAATAAAACTTTCCCATCTTTTGGTAGCAGCTACAGGGTCTTTTCTAGTGTTATATATCACAGACATATTTCAATACAAAACATTTAAACATAGTTTCGTAAGTTAATATTTCCATTTTATTTCTTTAATTTTATATATAAATGAGTTACTCTTGAGTTCTGAACTACAACTACCTATTTAAAATTATGATTCCCACTTGTTATTTTTTTATTTTGGATAAAATCCTTAATATCCAGATGCGGTGCTCAACTGGTTTCTCGTATTTATGTATAAAAAATTATTCCGTACAGCTGCAAAAGGGCTTACGTATTTCGATGTGGCAAAAAGGTTTTGGATTTAGCTTTTTCTTGGCCTGGCGTATAAAAAAAGCCGTTGCGGTTGCATAAAGTTTTGCACAAACGTTGCGCAAATCAAGCGAGAGGAGCACCAGAGGAAAAGGAGAACAACCGGGCAAAAGCTAGGCAACTTTGCTTGCTTTTGTGTTGCATACTTTTGCGCGCAGCAGCTGCAACTTCGTTTGCGCCCATTTGAAATTCATAAATGCGAACGGGCGTGTGGGCGTATGTGTGTGCGTGTGCTGTGTGCTGTGTGTGTGGCATATATTAGCCTGGCTTGTGGTGCATACGTTTAGGCGCACAATTGCTTATGAAATTGAGCAAACGAAATGGAAATTCAAATGGCAGCTAATGAGCCGCCACTCCAAAACGGAAAGCCTTGCCAGGCCAAGTTTGTATGTGTTAATTAGAAGTTGGCCAGAACTAAAATATCATGTTAACCAACGCAAACTCATCAAGTGAGCAACAGCCCAGTCAATCAGTCAGCAGCTCGAGCCACAAAACAAGCCATTAAAATGCTGTTTAAAGTGGCCAAAAGGGAGGCGTCCTGCCAACTGAAAAGTGAGCTCGCAGCTTTACCGATAAACAACGATGCGGCAGAGAACAACAACAAGCTGCAGCACATCTGCCAAACAAGTTGGGGTGGCAGAGAGTATAAAAAACGGACAGCAAAATTGAAGGCAAATGTTTTGGACGAGTCGCAAAAAAAAAAAAACAGGAGAAAAGGTGTCCCTGGGGCGCTTTTGACTGGGTGAGGAGCAGCGGGCGTGCCCTTGCGCCCTTCCTTAAACGCATCCCTCGCACCTGTCAGGAACCATGTGTAAAATGCTGCCAACGGCAATTTGACCCCCGACATGTGTGAGTGTGCGTGTGTGTGTGAGTATCTGTGTCGACTTCTTGTTGTATGTGTAACCGTATGCCCTTTTGTGCTCGCATGTAAATTGAAATGGGCCCAAAATGTCATTAAGAGTGCTGGGCAAAGCAACTGAACAACTGAACGAGCTCCCCAGTTTATGTGCATTAAATTAAAAATTAACTGTCACCGGGGATATATCGAGCCGAGCAACAGGCAATTAAGTAGGTTAAATTAACCTTAATCAGATGTGGTACAACTGAGCATGGGGTAGATCAGAAAACCTTCTTTTAGTTGCAGTTTATCTGTGTGTTAAAGACAAAATCCGATACTTCTTTATATCATATATATTTTCAGCGTGTTAAACAACGTTCTTATTTTTATTGATGTTATGATTTAAATGGGTCATCTTAAGGGTAACTTGTAAGCTTCAGGACAGGGTTCAGTCTGTTTTCTCAAAAGTAAGGACTGCTGAGCATTAGAATACATACTTTTCAAAAAGGTTTCTTATAGCAAATGCCCTATGCATATATGGATTACTTGTCCTCAATTAATATACAATAGCTGCAAAGTATTTGATAGTTTTTTGGGACTCCAGTGACAACCAAAAGGCTTATTGCCAAAAAGACTTTTGTTTGCTTTTTGTAAGCCTTTTATTGTCCACACAAACTTTGGCGCAGGTAAGAACGGAAAGGCTGCAACCTAATCTTCTCGGTGGATCGGGATAATAAGAAAATAATTTTCATTTTTTGAATTGCAAACTTTATTATTATTTTGTTTGGCTTAACTTCAAACATGTCATCATAACTTTTGCAAATCCTAACAGATATGAAGAAACGACAATTTATCGATTATCGGAAGCAAACTCGATCTGCGCAGGCACTAGGAGCACCTACATCTAACATTTCAAGTCTCTAGCTCTTATATGTTCTGAGATCCTTGCGTTCATACATATGGACAACGGACGGACGGACAGACGGACATGGCTAGATCGACTCGGCTGTTGATGCTGATCAAGAATATATATACTTTATAAGGTCGGAGATGCTTCCTTCGGCCTGTTACATACATTTGGATTTTGCACAAATACAATATACTCTTATACCCATTTTTAATGGGTTCAGGGTATAAAAATTATAATGTCGACCTGCGGCTCAGATTTAAATTTCATTTTCCACTTCATGCGGTCTTCAAACATGATAACTACCTGGCATGGTAAAATGAACACACATGGGCACACCCAAACGTGTGGGTCGCAGAAAAAATATACCGATTTCAATTTATTCAGTAAACAAGCTTGTTTATACTTATTAATTCAGCTTTTAAAACAACACGTGTATTTGGTTATAGTTTGTAATATTTTAAATTGATTTTTTTTATTAAATTTTTAATCTGTTCTCAGATTTAGTTCCCAGTATGAACGCGGTGATCTCAGAACTCTATGGCTTGGGAAATTTCACGTATGTCTATTTGGGATATTTGAGCGAACCATATTCATATGAATCCTGAACAAAAATATTGTTGCCAGATTTATATACCAAATTTAGGGGTCGAGGATATTTTGATATTTTGTGAAAGATCCGTAGATTTGAATCTGAGTTCGAACCTATCTTTGACCCCAATTTCCACCTAGGATTTTATATTCACGTATTTATTGATTTTTAAGATTGTGTTGTTTCCATAGGTGGATCAGTTTTTTCTTCAATAGCCTTTGCAGTTACATTGGGCATTTCTGTTTGATTATTGCACTTGTACATATTATTGAGGCGGGTTATGTCGGCGTCGCTCATACGATTTCTTTGTCCCATTCGTCTACCATTCAATGATTGTAGAGGCTTAATCGTGTCCAAGCCGGCAGACTTTTTGAAGGCAGATACGGAGTAGTGCATAATGCTGCCATAGTCATACGTAGCACCAAAGTTACCCACCCTGGACGAATTATACTTTTGAAAATTTGATATATTATCCGGTTGGATGTTTTCCCAAGCGATTTGCACGTAATCATCGCGATCCGGCGAGCTTTGTTGGTGAAGAAATCCCAGAGTATGGAGTAGTTCGTGCTGTATGGTGCCCAGTCTAAAACAACCCTCATCCACGCCTTGGTCTGGCAACGACAACGTCTGCTTGCCACCGAGGAAACCAACATTAGACCAACAGCCGGATAGGGAAACTTTAATCTCTACGAAATTTTTGGTATCTTCAACTGCAGGCAGAAATTGTATGCAGGACACGCTTTGAATAATTTGCATGGCCAGTTTTATGTGGGCAACATGTTCAGGTTCTATAAGATCGTTGTTATTTTAGATATTTATTCCATATGTTCAAAACTTACTGAACTTCTCATCGATCGTATAGTAGACTTCGCCATTAGGCCAGTGCTCATCTGGCGATAGTAATCCATTTCGTTTGTAGCCCACAGCCATGTCACCTTGATAAAGCCAAAAGTTATTGTCCGGAATAATCGGCACCGCAAAAACGGCCCAGCTGAGGGAACCCAGAAACAAATATCCAATCGTAGTCCTCATAGCGAACATTTGCATCTAATAAGTTTTAGATTCACATGCTATTTTGCGCTCATTTTAGTGTGACAGATCTTTTTACACGGTCACGGCTACGTTAAGGGGCTTGACATATTTTTTGAAAACATGTTTCGTTTCGGTGCTGAGTTTATTCGAGGTGAAGGTAAAAATACTTCAACCTTTCACTTTCAGCTCAAATTTCGCATATATGACCTTTTATCCTCTCTTGTAAGAACAGTTTTTTAATACCCACCTCAATAAAAGCATTCTCATGATAGCTACTTAATATTGTGCTCGAGTCGGAAGACAGAAAGACTTTTTTAATTTGTATATGATCTGGTTTAAAGGTTTTGTATACCATTGAAGAAGATTCTAGTCAATAAAAAGCTTTAAGGTATTTAAGATATTTACATAATTCTGGCGTTTTATACAAATAAAATTGGGCTATGAATGAGCACAGAATTGAGTATCCTGAAGAAAGGGAAAATATTGTGTACATGCCCTTTCTCCAAACCTGTTGAACCTTTTAAAGGTCTCGTTTTAGTAATAGTACCCTTAGTGAGAAATGTACCCTTTAGAGCAACATGAATTCCAGAGTCCTTATGCAGGCACTTGTAGCTGCATTTATGCGTAATACACAAACTTATGTACAACAACAATGCATACAGCGGCAGCGCTGCTTCTTCTGCCTGCGGAAATTTCAGCTAAACTGTTAAATTTAATGTTAAATTCTTTCTCGCTTATTGTAAGATCTTCATAAATTGCATTAAATGTGTGGATATTTATTTAAAATTTTATAAGAGTAATATCCAAAATTGTAATATTCCCAATCTACTAAACACACCAAATTTGGTGTCTCGAGCTCATTGGCTTGATATAAGCTTATTTGGTCGGAGATAATTTCTTCTTTAAATGGTTTTTACTATTGGCATATTCACAATATATTATTGAAGCTGTAGTGCGGGTTGACAAAAATACCGAACAGAATGATAATCTCTGTAAATAAAAATCTATTTGGTTACATTTTAATCAGATAGACGCAGAGAGAGAGAGAGAGAGAGAAAGAGAAGAGGGCTTAAATAGCACGTGCTATAAATTGACTTTAACAAAATTTGACACGAACGAAAAGTTAACATTAACAAACTTAAAGTGTATTTAGTGTACAATTTAAATTTGATTCCCCTAGGGCTTAGTTCCTTTCCTCGGCTCTTTGTCGAATCGTTTTCAGGTGCTTGCCACACGCTTGTGCCCCTTGGTTGCAGGTTTCACTTACATTTGATTTGTTGTTAAGAGTTAAATGCCACATGGCCATATGCCAACACTTTTGCCCAAGCAGCAGAGTAAATAAATTTAATTTTTGCTACGAATTGGAGTATGGGATACCGGGGGGTTGCTTACTGTAAAACCCAAAACTTTCAGCATGTCCTAGCTGCTCCCGACTTGGGCAGTTGGCTGTTGCCGCTGCCGTGTTGCAATAACAAACTCATGCTAATTGCTTTGCTAACAACTGGCAACGACAACTTGGGCTTCCACTAAGACCAATGCCAAAGCGCAGCAACAACTATAAATATTGCTAAAATGTAGCAACAACAAGCAGCTGCAGCAGGAACACGCGCCCAAGTCCTGCCCTGGCCCAGGGCAACCTTTAATTACGGCAGCAGGACACCGCAATGCTCAACTAGTTGCACACACACACACATATGGTAAAGCTAGCCAGTGGATACACAACGATTGACCTTTACAGCTTTGGATGTTGCCACAGGTGCGACTCTTGCGACGGCGACTCCGGCGACAGGTGCAAGCTTATAAATTTGAGCTTATAAATTTGAACACGAACCAGCGGTAATTGCTGGGAAATGAAATAAAAATGCAATTAAAGTCGACAGCGACGACGTTGGCAACTCTGGCAGAGTCCTCTTTGAAATGAGCATTCAATTAAGAACGAAGCAGCGCCGAGCTGAGTATTCCAGCATATCCTGGCCCAGGACTCGCCTGTCAGGGGCATACACTTGATGGCAACGTCGCCAATGCCATCGTCGGCATTTATAAAATGATTTTTATCTTTATCAAATTAGAAAACGACAACAGCAACAGCAACATCAGAAGCAGCAGGAACTCTGACAACTCCCAACCCACCACCTGCCTAGTCTGACCAATTTCCAGCTCCAGTCAGCCGTATCTGCCGTGTCACAGCAATTAAAACTGTGCTGTGGCATTGTGTAGATTACATCGCAGGGGAAACGGCGGGCGGGTCGATGGGGCGCACTGCGTGGGTCAATGCTGGTCAGTGAACAACTGTTAAATGCTTTGAAGTTATTTCCCGATTTGCAAGACTGCTCTTTGAATATATGAATGAGAAATGAACGTTAGTTGTGGGGGCTGTCCGAGCAGCCACTCGATGTGCTTATGGCTCAATGTGGCAGTTAAAGTTAATTTTAGTCTGTATTAAAAGATTTGCTAAATTCAAATCGTTTAGCCTAGACTATTGAGTGTTTCAAGCTTGATGTCTTTAAGCTGAAACAAGAATTGTAAATTTGTATTTTAGCTTTAAGCCTTCAAGATAGTGATTTGTGCCCTAGCCTCATTAAATTGCCGGAAGGTTTAAATTATAGTTAATGATACCTTAAGTAGCCTCTTATTTTTTGTTAAAAGATGTCTTGTCACAATTTTGGGAAATATGTTTTTATGCAGACTTCGACTTTATTGACATTCTAGGCTCGCCCCACTGGTCTGAGAATAAAACTTACAAGCAAGTTTTTTTTATTATTTGTTTTATTAGGCGCTGGAATCGTGTTTAGACAATTTGGCATCATGTTGCTTAACATAACATAAGGTAACTACGTTAGATATTACAGTTTTTTAGCTTTTACGATAAGTTTGTCATAAGAGCAAACAATTTAATCTACATAGATTTGTTTCTAATAGGGCTTGATATCGAATTATGCTCGGTCGGCCTAGTACTACCTAAAATCTGGCTTGGGCATATTTTATAGCCAATGGCTTTTCCATGGCGCAGTCCAAGCTATCAGTTGCTTCTGACATAACCTTCAAAGTCTTTTAAGCCGCTTGGCCTTCAATCCTCAAAACTCACAGCCGCATTCCAAACTGTTCCTGCCCTGCCATTTGAATAGCTTACCCATTGAATTTGAATCTCTTTTGCAGACTTTTTTTTTGAGGTTTTGGTTCTTTGGCGGTAAGTATTTTACTTGGCTGAGTTTTGCCAGTGTCTATAGTCGATGGCATTGGCTGGATTCTCTAGATTTTTTGGTGGCTTTGGTCCCCCCAACCTCAATCCCAACTCCAGCCCTAACCGCCGCCACCCTCGAGCTCCGGCGTCACCATCAACGGCATCCGCTGCTCTCATCGTCAGCGACATGGATTATGCAAAAAGTTTTTCATTAATGTTGGATTTAGATATTTTTTCACGCTTTGCAACATTCGCTCTTCCCGCTGGTGGCCGTTTTTATGCCCGGTTGCGTTCACTTTTTGCATTCGCTTGTTGACAACGCAACTTTGGGTCCCAGGATACGTTAACTTTTGTGCAGTGCTATGCAGTGCTGGGAAAGCTGCCACAAACAGCGACATCCAGACAAACATTCAACAGCAACACTGTGAATGAGAGCGAAAAAGAGGGGGCTGAGCTGCCACATGAAGCAAGGTTGCTACAAATTCGGCAACAAAAACTTTTTTCGTTGCAATAGAACTGAATTCTGTGCGCATTAAGATAATTTTAGATTGATCTAGATAGCCAGATTCCGCGTTGTTCCCAAACATATAGGTGATTGAGATTGTATATTAGCTTTGTATTCCTTTGGGTAGTTTTTGGTTATATATGAGCTTTTTGTCGATCTTTCAAGTATAAGGAGCAAGCGCAAGTTATGCACCAACCAATGTCTGGACCAGGATGGACAGTTTTTTGAAAGTCCGACAAGAAACTCTGAGGAGTTTCTTTTATATATTAACTGCCAAATTCAGCTATGACCCAATATTTCAGTAAGCTTTTTGTGAGTTAGTGTTTGAGCCCAAACAAAACTCAATCTTAAAGTCTGAGCCCATCTCTAAATCCCAATATTTTGATTTTAGCAAACAATTTGTTGTACATTTGTAGTTTTGTAACCTGTAAACTTTGCGTATAAAAATATTGTACTTACGATTTATTGAAAAAATTTCTTTTTATCAAAGTCCCTTTTTAAGTCACTTCAAAAATGTTTCAATACTGAATCTTTCAGTTTGCTTAAAAATACATAAGTATTCGATATACTTTTTTTTGCTAGAAAATTTTGTATCTTCTACATTCCTTGTGCCCGATGAAATGGGCAAATGGGGTATAGTCGTCTTTTAAAAATATTTGTAATAGGCAAAAGGAAGCTTCTCCGAATCCAAAAAGTATATATATTCTTTTCTATCTGTGTATAAAGATATAGAGAATAGTTCACTTTAGTTAATATTCCTTAAATGGAATAACAAAAAAAATGCCTCGATATTGAAAATTGAAATGTTCATGGCCTGAACAATTTTTAAGGTGAGGTTAAAGCAAGAATACGCGTTCTTATGCAGCGTAATTGTGTGTGTGTGTCTGTTTAAAAGGGAGTTCATGGTTAGCCTCTGCGATGTATACAGGGTGTCGTCTAGTTGGGTGCTCTCGACTAGAGGACTCTTACGTGTTTTATGGTTTGGCTGGGTTAGTTTTAGTGGTTGATTCTTTTGAGACACTTTTGCTGCTTTGCAGCGCAAATTGTTTGGTTTTGCCCAGTTTACGCTGGGGCTTCTTTTTTTGGGGTTTTATTTTCTTTTGTGGCGTTTTCGATTTGTCTTGCTACATCCGGTAGCCCGGCGACCCCTCGTTTCATTTCCTGTCCTCTCTCGCACACGCTTCACGCTTGCATTTATTTGAGTGTGTAAAGTTTTCTTTCTTGAAAAATTTTTTAAGGCTGGATGGGTGGTGGAGAAGATTTGGCTGTGGCAATTTCACAGTCTCTTCCTGTTCCCGTTGTATGCCAACTTTGATAGTTTTGTCAAAAGTTTTTATTGCGATTTGTTGCAGTCGTGTAAAAGTAATGCTACAAAAAAAAAGAGAGAAGCAAAAAAGGAATCCCCAATTGATATTTTGGTATGAAACAAAAAAATGCTTTTGTAAACTATAAAGATGTTGCCTTAAGTCTTTCTTAAAGATTTATTAGATAATGCCTACTGCTTGGGTATTTAAGGGAGCACGATTTGGCTCGATATCTATTTGTTATCACAATTATCGATGACCACCACATCGCCGTAATTGGGTGGTGGCGTCTCCGGTCGAGCTGCTCCAGCTTCCACAAAGTCCGTGTAAAATCTTGCAGTTGCTGCGGGCGGAGTTTCCGGACTACTCGGCTCCCGATCGCGAGTGCTGAAAAGATTACTACGACTCAGGCGTCTAATTAGCGTCGCCGTATTCTGGTTTATGGTGCGATAGTACTGACGCCTCGCCGGGCGGCCAAAAAGGCGTGAGACAAAGTTATCATCGGGTCCATATGGCTGCCGTACCAGGGCGCGTGAGGGAGCGTTACGTGAACGCTGCGGATTAGAACGACGGGGATTGCGAACTGTCGAAGGCGTCCAAGTATGAATCGTGGGCAGCTGCTGTTGTGAGGAGTCCAACGTGGCTATAAAAGAACAGGGAAATGATTACAATACGGCACGGCAAAACATTAAAAATCTCAAGTATACGAGATAAATTGAGTTGTTATTCAAAATGTTATTTTTCTATCTTAAAGATTCTATTCACCGAAGACAAATTATACTTTTATATTGATCGATCATGATTATCGCAGGATCTTTCTTTAGATGGAAATATGAATAGACGAAAGAAAGAAGTTTAAATAGAAAGTCTTTACTATGTAACTAGGGTTTCTTTTTAATTTTAGACTAATATTGAATATCATGCTCTCATAATTTCTGGTTAGAAAGTCTATGTATACATATATCCCAAAGGAATATGCATAAAAAAGGTGTTACATATTATATTTACCTATTTGTTATGAGTACAGGATGTACACACACAGATTATTTGATCAAGTATTAGAAAAAATAAGCACCGAGAGCTATATTGTTCAGTTAATTCCATATTACCTAAATGGACCTGTCTGGGGCTCGAGACGGATTCTTATTTATCAGGTGGCTGAAAGCTTTACTAACTGGCTACTTATGAACATGTTTTTGCTGTAACACGCACCTGTTCCATTTAACAGGTATGTCCTGATGCCAAAGCTTAGTTTTAAAAAAACTTTGCTACTCACTTGTCTCGCCGTCTGCCGGTTGACGACGCTTCCTTCTCAGTTCGCAGCCGCTTTTTATGCAGAGAGCAAAGCTGATTATGAAAATGACCATGCAGATGCCAGTGGCGCCACCCACTGCAAAGGCCAGCTTGACATCGTCCTCGTCGAAGATGTGCGTGCTTTTTACCTGGTCTGGTGGCTGAGCGGCACTGCCGGCGAGCAGCTCGTGACTGACCCGCTCCAGGCAATTGCGATAGCGCAAGCATAGCTGTTCGCGATTTCCCTCACACACATCGATAAGTGTTGAAAGCTCTTCCTCCTCCGGCTCCTGCTCCTGCTGCTGCTCCTCTGAATCATCAGGTAGTTCGCGCCAGACTGCCACCACAGACTTGGGGCCGTCAGAGCTGCTACTGCCGCTATCCAGGTTCTCCATGCGCTCCAGTTTGGGGGGCTCCTGAAGTGCCCCGTCCACTTGCACATCCAGTGGATGGGATGGCAGCCTCTCCTCCAGGCAATCGGTCATGCTGACGGTGACACCTCGCAAACTCAGCCAAGTGGCGACCTTAATTAAAGCACGGTCGCAGTTGAGCGGATTCTCGTCCAGGTTGACCGAGGCCAAGTAACGCGGCGCATGGAAAACATTAATGTTGAGTGTGAGCAGCATATTCTGGGCCAGATCCAGCTGGCGCAGCTGTGGCAAGGCGCTCAACGATTCCGGTCCCAGCTGATTGATCTGTGCATTCCGTAAATTAAGTGTACGCAGCGAAGTGCTTCGCAGCAGTGGAAAATCGCCCAGTGTGGCCAGCTTATTGCCCGCCAGACTAACATGCATTAGCTGTGAATTAGTTTCCAGCAGATGCTCATCAATCTGCTCCAGTCGATTGTAGGAGAGATCCAGCGAGCGCAGACGACGCAGCTCCCCAAAGGCGTTCACGTGCAGAGTGTGTATGGCATTGTGGGCCAGTGTCAGATTCACGAGATGCACTGTGCTCTGTGTGGGACATTGCATAGATAGTAATGATTGTACCTATATGCCGGCAATTAGTCACGTTTCAAACTCACCTCAAAACAATCGTCGTCAATGGTAGTGATATCATTGTAGCTTAAATCTAAAAGCTCCACCGTTTTGGGCATGTCAAGGCTGGCACTTATCAAGCGTTTGGCGCTGCGCAAATAGATATTAAAAGGAAAAGTAAAGGTGAATGTTTCTCTGTATGGACTGACTCCGAGACTTACCTGCATATGGCGCGATTGCGCTCTGCATAGAGATCACAATGGCAGACGCTGGGACAGTTTAGCTCCAGTTGGGTCTTGCTGCGGCACACCTGGAGCACTACACACAGCAGCAGGCCCACATAGAGTAATATTTGCTTGAGGCCCAGCCACATTTTTGGCTGGATCACGCATTGTAGTGCCATCGATGGTGGGGGCTGGGCTGTTGTTATAATTCACTTATTGAATGGGCATTTTGTAATATGCCCTCGTTTTTATCTATTTTTTAGTTAATATCTGTTTCGGAAACGCCTTACGATTCTCGACTAACAACTGAATGAATAACTTGCTCTGCACTCCCGTAACATGACTAAGTGCGGCGCTGCTTCCAATTAGCTGGCCTTATGAGTGGACTACGTTCAGTTCCAGTTTCACCTGGTAACCAGAGATTACAGTTCGAGCAGATGACAGATATGCTCGACGGTTGACTGTAGCGCACACTTTCCAGTGCGATAAGATAAACGAATTGAGGCTTATCAGTACAGCTGGCCGAACTGCAAGCAAGTGCCTGGAGAACAGCTGCGCGTTTCTTTGCTTGTCTCTAATCTGGAAGAGTAAGTGTTGTAACTATGTTTCCACAGCAGAGCGACTGGAAATCTACAGGGCTGCTGTTTTTACTTGGAAATGAGTTTTGTTCTTAAGTCTTGTTGGCTTCATGTATACGATAGTAAATTCCTGCTAGAAATTACACTCTTCTTGATAGAGTTGTGTAAGTTTGGACTTAAATCATTTAACCGGGTCATAAATATGGGCTACCGAACTGACTCAGTGATTAGTTAACTAAATCGGTAATTTTATTCAGTCGATCAGTTACTCAGTCGGTCGAACATTATACGATGTTTTCTGTATCTGGTCTGTCAATCGGACATAAATCATTTATTTTCAATAGTAATTCGTTAATTCTATTTAGCCTATTAAATGGTGTTAGTAGTAAAATAAGTATTAGCATATTAGGATTAAATTATAGAGATAAGATAGGATTATTAAATAAAGATAAAATAAATAAAAAGAGGGAAAAAACATTCAAACGGAAACAAATAATGATAGATCACCACAGTATGGGTTAGAGGTGTTTTATTAAAATGAGTTCCAGCTAAATTTCAAACTCAGGGATTTGATGCAAGCATTTCTTGCAATGTCGACTCGGCATTTATATTATATTATTTTATATTAGATCATATAAGCAAAGCTAAAAGCCTTAAGTGAATCAATTATTTATGGTTAAGGTTCTATTTAAGTGAGCTCTAGCTAAATGTTAATCGCATACGGGTCATTTGAAAATGTTTGCAATGTGGACTCAGTTTGGCATACTGTTGCTCGCTTGTGTGTATTTGGGCGTTGTTGGAGCACCGTTTAATGGAGTAGGCGACCTGGGAACTGATCTGGAGCTAAATGCTGGCTTTTTCGAGGGTGACATGGATATAAAGTATACACCGGATGGAAAGCTACAACCGACTCAGCGTTGGCCCCTTGCCACAGTCTACTACAAAATAGAAAAAAAAAAATTCAGTAGGTTTTTTACTTGAGACATAATATTCTTACCTTTAATACACCAACGTTCCCACAGCTGCTCACCAAGAGAAATTTATTCAGCTGGGAATGTGGAATATTGAAATGGTGTCCTGTATAACCTTTGAGCCTGCCCCTAAGGAAATTCGTGACTATTTGCTGATCACCGATTCGAAAACTGGTTGCAGTTCCACAGTTGGTTACTCCAAAGACAATACGACAATTAAGTTGGTACCTAACTCCATAGGCAAGGGTTGCTTTAACTTGGGCACTATACAGCATGAACTGCTCCACACTTTGGGCTTCTTTCATCAACATAATTATGCAGACCGCGATGATTACGTAAAAATTGTCAAGGACAACATTAGTACGGGGAAACTCGTCAATTTTCAGAAGTATGCTGCGGATAGTTTGGGGAACTTCGGAGCATCCTATGATTATGAGAGTATTATGCACTACCCTTCCAACGCCTTTTCAAAGAATGGAGGAGAAACAATTATCGCACGTCAGCCAGATGGTCAGTCGAAAATGGGGCAAAGAGACGGTCTGAGCTCCGCTGATGTGACTCGCCTCAATAACATGTACAATTGTCCAATGCTACAACCAGAAAGAAACTAATGTTGATCAATGCCCCATTAGCTCTTAGAACTCAGGCAGATTGTTTCTTATAGGGCACATATATTTACTCACACAAAAATATGTATACATATATATGTGTTACATATCTATTGGATTTTAAGTATGCATTTGTCAATGATCATATATCTATCCTTAAAATTACAGTAGGAATCAATCAATCTAGCGGTGGGAATCTTAAAGTCGAAAAATAAACTTTCTTTAAGACAACCTTTGACCCATAGCTCCATCAGATATGGATATATGAATTAAAACCCGAATCGTCATCCACCTACCACTATTCAACTAAGTCGCGCCTCAAGTTAAATATAAGCTATATGTAAGAAACGATCGGTCATAAATTGAGTTCTGTTATGAATAAATATTTTGTGTATCAAGTTATTTTGACCAAATCTGGCATTAACTAATTAAGCTATTCGCTTTTATATGCGCTAAATCTTATCAAGATCGCTAAACTTTACTTTATAGCTGTATGGGAGGAATTCTGTTTCCCAAGATATTTTTATTTACGAGCTTCACTATTCTGACTTTATTATTGTTGACGAGTGAGGAATATAAAGCTAACTATGATGCGATGTATATTTAAAATGAAAATATCATTAATAGTTCTTCGATTTTATGGAAGAAAATGCCTTGAGCTCTTATAACTTTTGAGATTGACGTTGACATAAACTTGAAATGAATTTGTGAAGCTTCCTTCTGCCTGTCGATTATCAAATCAATATACCCGCTTACCTTTTTGCAATGGATATAAATAGGTATAAAATATCAAGAAGCAATTAGTTTCCTGATTACGAGACGTTTATCAAACATAAGCTATTTTCATGATAAGCAAGCAAATAATTAAAGTCCAATTAGCTAAATGTGATACTCAAACGGATTAGTTGAATATTTTCGCGATGTCGACTCGGTTTGACATTCTGTTGCTCGCCTGTTGCCTGTATTTTGGAGCTAGTGCAGCACCGCTTAAGGGGATCGAGTATGAGCCAATTGATCCAGAGCTAACTGGGGACTACTTCCAGGGTGACATGGATGTGGAACTCACGCGGAATGGAGAACTAGCAGTCACTCGTCACTGGCCTAATGCCACAGTCTACTACAAGATAGATGAGCAGTTCAGTAGGTTTCGTACTTGTTGCTTGCGATTCTTGCCTTTAATTAAGCAACATATACGCAGGTGCTGCACAAATACAACATATTGAGTTGGGAATGCGGCGTCTTGAGCTTGTCTCTTGCATACGTTTCCTGCCTGCTAGTGAAGAGACCGTGGACTATGTGCTGGTCACTGTTTCCACAACTGGCTGCAGTTCCAAGGTTGGCTATATTGGCAGCGAGCAGACGGTCAAGCTAAAGCCCAGCGATTTGGACACTGGTTGCTTTCGACTAGGCACCATACAGCATGAGCTGCTCCACACTTTGGGATTCCATCATCAGCAAAGTTCTGCGGATCGAGACGATTACGTGAAAATTGTGGAAGAGAACATTACTGAGGGAAAAGAACATAATTTTAAGAAGTATGAAGCGGATCGGGTGGAAAACTTCGATGCACCCTACGATTATGGTAGCATTCTACACTACAGCTCCAAGGCCTTCTCGAAGAATGGGGAAGAAACAATTATCGCTCTAGACCCAGATGGTCAGTCCCAAATGGGGCAAAGGCTCGCTCTGAGCTTCGCTGACGTGAGTCGCCTTAATACCATGTATAAATGTCCAATGCAGGTGTAAATAAAAAAACGAACATTATTAATAATTCAGAAATCGGAATTATTGTGTTTTAGCTGTGAATGAGAGATTATACCATAACACATAAGCCTTGGGATATTTAAAGACAAGAATTATTCTCTATTAAGGAAGATTAAGCTCCCATATTAATTAGGAACTAAGATATTGTTGGCCGATTTGGCACTGCAGAAACTTGCAATACATATATCTCTTCGTTTTTATGTAAATTAGTGAGTACGAAGCACGAACAGGGAATTTTGCAGTCAAGCAATCTCAGCTAGAGACATTTTGCTTGTTCAAAGATGAATATTCAAGTCACATGCTATGGTAACATGTCTCGGAATCGCCAAAGCAAACGTCCTTTCGACTGCACAGACACTGTGGCAGGGGGAAACAGAGAGGCGAGAGTATGTAAGAGAGGAAGAGAGAGAGAGAGAGTTTGATGTAGCTGATGGTGGAATGAAACACTTCCATCCGCTGCCTCTACTATATCCAGCTTCGCTCTTGTCCACTGGCCAAACAGAGTAGATGAAGAAAAAACTTCAAGTCCGGCCTGGGGCCAGTTGTTACGAGTTGATCGTTAGCCAGGACGGCGACTGGCTGACTCGAGGCTACTTAACAGCACAGCTTGCGCTTCCGCACTGCTTCAAACCGAAGTCGAGGCTCTGTGCAAGTCCCAGGCCGACGTGGTCCAAGATGTAATGGCCACAAATCCACTTGTCTGCGCTGCACCGCACCTCCCTCTTTGCATTCCCCGCTTGTCCGTTTGCGGCCTGCTTCCGCACTCGGTTTGTTGCCTTTAATTTATGACCATGACCTGACGCGCCTCAGTGTGGTGGAGGCGTAGCGGCGGCGCCTCTTGTCAGTCGTGGGGCGCGACCAGTGGTTGCCACATCCGCTGTTTGTTTGAGCCATGTGACGTGCCCTCCCGCCCACTCCACAGCCACTGTGATCGGCACAATGAATGCAACAAGAAAAAAAATAAAAAAAAAACCGAAACTTTTTACACACATTCAGTTTTCGCAGTTTTCGTCGGAAATAGTTAACTTTTATATGCATTTCAAATCAGAAACTTTTACATTCAAACTTTATTAAAATTACGTTTGATGCTCGTCCAATTGCGCAGCCATTCCCCTCCATCCCAGCAGCTACCCATTGCTTTGCAAGTTGACTTTCGCAATTCCTATTTGGAGTATTGTTAGCCGAAATGTTGGTCGCCATCGCCCAAGTTCGTTTAGTAGCTCTTTGTTTGACTGTATTTATTAAGACTCTTCAATTGGGCATACCCACTGTCTAAAAGATCGCTTACAGACAGCTTAACATAATTTTCGATCGATTTTTAGTCTACGTTATCATGCCATACGGATTCATGTTACAGTTAGTTTTCACGTTTGAATTATGGATCTTCAATCTATAATAATTTTATACAAATAATTGCCTTCTCTAACGATATATAAGGAAAAATTCCCAAGGCCATAAAATATTTCTTCCATAAAAAAATTAAATATTTAAGTACTTACGCTGATTTAATATGAATTACGTAAGGGATTTAATATGAGTATAAAATGTAAAAATATATATTTTTCAATAGAAGGGAGGTTGGAAGCCTGCCTGCAAGCATCGATATCAAAAATATTGAATAAATTATAAGGTGGCGGCTTAAATTCAAGAGATGCTGGGATATAAAACAAATGTTATGTTATGTGAAATGAAAATGTACGTAACGTAAACATTTGGGACATTTTGCGGTTTGCCCGAGACAATTTTATTGGCTTGCAAATTTATACATACTTATAAAGCGTATTTCAAGTTCGTAGTTCGTATTCTACGGGCTTGGTTGAACTGAACATTTGCGTTATTGTTTTGAGTGCTGGAGCTTTTTTGTGGTATCTTCTCTGACTGGCAGCCGCAGCAGTTGCAGTGGCACCACCCACTGCTGAAGCCACACCCGTGCCGCCCCGCCTTTCCCTTCTTACTAATGACCGACATTGCTTCCTAATTACAAAAGTTTTGCATGCACTCGCTGCACTCATCGGGATATCGGTGGCAAAGGGCAGGGCAGTGCACTGTTGGCCGAAAAACTTTACAGTTTATTTGGTTTGCTTTATTTAATGTTTGAGTGCTTTAAGTTGGGCATTTCATTTGGACTTTAGAATGACACCAACGAACTAACGGCTCCATTAACTGGAAGCTGCAGCTACATGAAGATTGGACCGCGCTACACATGTTTGGCCAGTTGGAAAAAAGAGCCGCCAGCACGCACACTCATGTGACACATGTGTCACATAACACATGTGGCACCAAGTCGGTAAAGGCAGGCACCAGTCCAAAGCATAGACACTCAACTGGCAGACAAATGGACGTACGGACGAACGGACGAACGGACGGACGGACGGCCGGTCGGACGGAGGGCCACACTTAATGATAAACAATGCTTGCGGTCAGTTTAACATGCCGCGCTATTGCCCCAAACACTAAACTCCCCCATCAGCAGTTGCCTTGCACACCCACATAACGAGTGGACAATTTACACACATGCTGAAACTAGCCAACAGAGGGCGCTGCTGCAGCTGCACAGCTACACATTTAGTAAAAAATAGTAGAAGGAGAAGTAATACAACGAAGAGTGAATACGCTGCAAGAAAATTTGGAAAATAACATTCTGTTTTATTTGATTACAATTTCTAACTTAAATATCGCCATATTTTAAGTGCAACGATTGAGTCTTTTATTGTTTCTTAATTATGCTTGTGCAATATTTACTCTTAGTAATTGAACACAATAGAGCACATAATCCAAAAACAATGAAAAGTGTTTTTTTTTTAATTGTAACATACAAATCTTAAAATGAGTTAAGATTTACACCAACTTGTTATCATAAAGCCCCTGCCTCTTGTTAATATACGACCTACATATGTATTAGTAGATATTTGAAGATGACTCCATTAATGTGTTTCAGAATTGATGAAGAACTTCACATACCTGTCTATTGGAAAGTGCATTTCAAGCTGACAAGCAAAGCAGGGAAAAAGCGACAAAAACAACGTGCTTAAAAGAGCAGTAAATGAGAATTTATCCACTTGCTGACCAACGCACACATACAAAAACACACTTCCATCTACACTCACATACACAAACACTTACACCGCCCACATACACACACGCACGGACGACTGGGATACACGCACATCGTAAAGTTTTAATCGGATGTTGTCCAGCTTTACATGACGCCATCTACTGGCTTAGAGTGCAATATCCTGTGGCACGCGATAGCATCGCATACAATGAGAAGAGGGGCAGCCATTGCCACACATACACACATATACACACACTCACACTTGTGCGTTGTTTATGCCGCCGTTTTGGTTGCCTGGACAAACGCTTTTGGCCCTTTGCCGTTTGATGGCATTCGGCATCGCTATGAACTCGAACCACGCGATGCCACAAGGCAAAACAAAGGGCACAGCCAGACGGACTAGACACAGTTTCAGCGCCGAGTCCCCTCCCGCTGCTGCCTGAAGAGCAGCCTGTGAAACAGCCGCCACAAAGGCTTGAAAGGCGCTCGAAAAAAAAGAGAAATAGAAGAAAAAAAATCAGTAGCTTGTGGATTATGTTGGCGCGGTCACGAGATGAGGCGAGGGGAGCGGCTTCCATTGTTGCTGCACGCACACTTGGCCTGACCAGCGTCCAGAGTGGAACATTCAACGTGCCGGGTCTGAGCAGCGCCAACGTCGTTGTCATTGTCGTGACAGGAAATTAAGATGAATGTGGCGAGCAAACTGCAGCTCCAACTGGACACTGGACAGTGGATCAGGGGTGCTAAGGGAATGGGTAGTCAGACTTAGGTTTTGTCTCTTTTTCCTGCTGTTTGCGCTGTTTGCCTCTGTTGCTTAACGGTCTCTTAAAATATTCATAACACAAACTGTTGCCACTATCTGCTGCTGCCAAGCCGCAAATGCGACGGACTGCTCCCAGCTGCAGCAGGGACGGAGCCAGGGGAAAGGGAGTTGGGCGCTGGTGTAGTGCAACTGGAAGTGGCATTGTTGGGTGCAAAAGTTGCGCGTTGAAGCTAATTGATTTTTATGAATTACTTAAGTGACTTTTTTATGCAGCAGCAAATAATGAACGAACTGGGGCTTGTAATGGAGAGTAGCAATAGATGGTAGGACAGGGCATCTAAGATGAGTGCCAAACGCAAAGGAATGCGGTTAATGGCTAGAGAAAAACAGCTTTGGTGCAGTAATACAGTGAAGATGAAACAACATCATAAATCAATTTAGTAAGAGTAACTTAAAACTGGCAAAAAGTACATATGCGTTGATTACTGTTTAAAAAATTTTATTAAATATACTTCTATATAAGATTTTGCTGCCTGTAACAGAAAGACGGAAGGACCTCTGCAGTTTCGTGACGAAGGAAATGGATAGACGGACAGGTAGGCAGGAATTTATGGAATAAGTTGTTGATATTGATCAAGAATATGTTAATCTGCATATATATATATATATGTATATTCTTGATTATGACGACGAGCTGAGTCGATATTTGCTTGTCTCTGTCTAAGCGATTAAAAATATGAGCTTATCATTCTGATCTCAACTTTTTAAAATACAATGTTTCGTTCTGTTCACAGAATACCATATCCATCTAGGATTCGAACTCGATGCGCGTTTTTCAGTTAACTTAATGACCGAGTCGCCTTTACAGCTCACTTACCAGAAAGTGCAACTGAAACTACATTTTCCCATTTGCTATTCAATTTGACTTGTGAATATATCGCCAGCTGACTTGTGAAACGATGCTTGGGTAAATGTGCTGGCCAAGTTTAGAATCTACTCAAATATTTGTGGACAAAGCGATTACATAGTAAATGAGCCAAAATTGTCGTTAAAGTTTGAACTGTTTCCGTTGCTCTGTTTTGGGCTAATAACTTAATTGAGCCATTGCACGCATGGGAGGGCTCATTAAAAAGTTGCCAACTGTTTCCTGCGCAGTCCCCAAAGTGTATAGCTTTGTTTTGGGTGTGTGAACAGATGAATGGC